TTAATGAATTGTGGATATTGTCTGTTGTTAACAGTGCTTTGTATGTGCCTCGAAGAAGGTCAGGTTGAATGTTTCTGTTTCTAATAGAATGGTGAAGGCAAGAATTGTATGGATGTCAACTCCTCTATTGTGAAGGGTCACGACGTTTTGAAGTATATTCTTACTCCTTTATCAGGTGAATGGGTGGATCCAGGAATTTTGAAAGGGGGGGGTTCTAAAAACCCCTGAATCCCCTTTGGCTCCCCCAACGCAATTTTTTTTTTTCAATGTGGTCTTAAGTCATTTTCGGGGGTTCACCCCTGAACCCCCCCCTGGGATCTGCCACTGAGGTGAATGAAACAATTAGGAACAGACAGCTATATATGTACATGTTAAAACAACAACAGTTATGAGATAACAAGGGAAACCAGTGGTTAATTGGTAGATGGACAAGTGGAAGCTATGGATTGTTAATCCAGGCATGATGAAGGTTACAAAGGTGACAATTTAACAAGGGATAAGAAAAGCAATAGAAGCCAGGGGCCACAGGTTTCCCATGTTATCTCATAACTGTTGTTGTTTTAACATGTACATACATAGTTCTCTGTTCCTAATTGTTTCATTCACCTGATGAAGGAGTAAGAATATACTTCGAACGTCGTGACCCTTAAAGAAGTTGACATCCATACAATTCTTGTCGTTATGTGTATCACTTCTAAATGCCCCTCAAAGACTCAATAGAATGGTGGCCAAATCTGAAACAGGGTCATCCAGACTTCACTGTTCCTTGTGAAAATGTCTGCTTTACACATTTCCTGTTTAATGAATTGTGGATATGTCTGTTGTTAACATGTAGATTGCCCAGCAGATTTAGTTCCATCCTTTGTATTCCAGGGGGTTTTATCTCCATCCTGTCTTTAATACCCTGAACATATTTGGTCCCATAGTTCTGTTTCAGACTTGGACATTGAGGATTGCATTGTCCGGGAAACCATGGTTACAAGACTAACATGATTTCACTGCATTAGCATTAAATCAGCTTGAACTATTTGGATGTTTCTTTAGGTTTATCTACACAAGGCCATGAATGTTGAAACCTTGCATTTATTTGACTTTAATAGGTTTAATCAGGTGAAAACAATTTAACCATTAGGGACATGAGGAATTCCATCTTCACCTATACACCCAATTGCGTAGATCGATGCTCATGCTGTTGATCACTGGATTGTGTGGTCCAGACTCGATTTCAATATTCACTCTCACTCACCAGACTTGAAGCTGCAACATTGCTGATGCGGGGTTAAGCAATATTCACTCTCACTCACCAGAGTTGATTACTTACAGACCGCTGCCATGCAGCTGGAATATTGCTGAGTGCTGTGTTAAGCAAAAACCAACCAACCAACCAACCAACCAACCAACCAACCAACCTCACCTGTACATGTATCTGTATGTCATCTCCATGGTATTATTAAAAACCCTGGGCTCAAATTTGATGTTTCTTGGGAACAAATGGAAATATTTCACTCTTGAACGCAGAGGATGTTGGGCCTCAATACTTCACTCAAAAGTTTTTCATAACTGCTAACCAGTTATAAATGATTTTCTAAACTGACTGAACTGGGCAAAGTTGTACTTAAGGTTGGTAGCAGGCTGAAGACATTTGGTTAAATTTCATTTCTTTGTACAACTTGTGAAGCCTGTTCTTGGTGCCTCTGTCATATTGGTGAAATATGTTGCTATAATCAGCCTCCATGCCTCTCCCTCTGTTGCTGTGATTCTTTAGTTTTTTGCTAGTGATATTTATGGCTGTGATCTTTAGAAATCTCCATTTTGTACAATTTTTCATCTTGATTTATAGATATTTATGCACGGATGATATGAAATACATTATGATCATATGTACAAAGCACAAAATACGCTATTCTTAAGACATTGCTTTTATAAGATTATAGACTTTAAAAACTTATTGAACTCTATGGTGGGACATTCAGGTGTCATTTTTCGGGATTTGAGAAATTCTCAGATTGTACACCTTCAGAGGGCTGATATGAAAACGTCATACATTTGTTCCATTGCACTTCGGGTGTCTTTGTATGGAGAGTATGTACTTGGATTACCTATAAAATGGGTTCTAGTTTCTACTGTTTTCTCGCAATGTATACAGGCAGCCATATAATATAATGTATTATATGGTCTCTGATAAAGTCTATCAGGTGTATTCAATGAGTCGTGTGGTTTATGTGCAACTTCAAACCACAACAGTCTTTCATATTTTGAAATAGGTTTCACATTTAAGTTTCTCAGATTATATCAGTTGAAGAATTACAGTGCTTCCTCAGCCATTTCAGGCATAGTAGGTTTGCTCTGGTTTTGATTAGGTAGTTACCTTTTTAATGTAAACATATTTATTAAATAATCTCATTAATGAAACCCCAGGCATATAATGCTTGGGATATAGTTATGTCTGTCCGTCCGTGTTAATTTCTTGCTGGAGTAAAGTTCAAAATGTAATTAATATTTTCACAAAACTTTAATACTAATCACATAGTGATGAAGTTGGATCTGTTTTACATGACTTCAAATTAGTTTCACCTGGTGGCGAGTGTTTCTGAAGCAGAACCATATCTGATGGTGACATAGTGGTTATTGCTGATTAGATAGGTTGTCAAATATATTTACTTCCATAACATGTGGAACGTCACGTAGTGGGAAATTGTGTCTTAATTCTGGTACCTTTCTCAAAACCGCATTTCACAGCGAAATGTTTCAGGGAGGAAAGTCAGAGGCGGATCCAGGAATTTTCAGGGGGTTCGAACCCACTGAACCCCTCCTCAGCTCCGCCATTGCAAAACATTAACTTCAATGTGGTCTTAAGTCATTTTTTAAAGGGGGACCCTGGATCCGCCAATGAAAGTGATACCTTGTGATGATTCTTGATTTCAATTTTTTAATCACAGAGTTATGAAATTCTTATTAGAATAACGAAATATTTGAACTACCCAACTCAAACCCAACCCAAGTTAAAAGATATACTGTATTTGCACATTTTTGGGAAGAATGGTTAAATAGAATTTGTTATTCTTTCAGGACATTTGTGTAGCGTAATGACGTCTAGATGTCTAGCGTATTTTCAAAGTGTCGTTTGCAAAGGAAATTTTATACCGTGGTCACATGACCTGATTACGTTGATTTTATTCATTGAATTACGAAACGATATATTTGCTTGAAATTAGTTGAAATAACATTTCCGTTGTATTTGTACTCATCGGAAGTGGCGACTAACGGGATCGGGTGGTCAGGCTCGCTGACTTGGTGGACACATGTCATCGTATCCCTATTGTGTAGATCGATGCTCATGCTGTTGATCACTGGATTGTCTGGTCCAGACTCGATTATTTACAGACCGCCGCCATATAACTGAAATATTGCTGAGTGCGGCGTTAAACTACAAGCCAACCCTCTTCATTCAGCGGGTCCTTCCGTCATCACTCGGCCCTCACCGTAACTTGCAGGCACAGTTCGGCTTGTGTCGGAATGACCCGAGTGGTCACGAAGGATAATGGTTCATGTCATATATAAATTTTATTATTGAATCGGCTACCACTGCCACCTAATACTAATACTTTCGTTTCGGTATCACAATAACGACATTTTATATAATCTGCTATCCTGTTTACTGTGAGCCTCCGTTGACTGCGGGTCTGTGATCTTTCCCGAGTGTTAGCATGTTGCCTGTAGACCTGGTCCAGCCAACTGTCAAGGGACGTGTTCTAAGCAAGAACATTGCATAATAGCTTTTATTTAATTATTAAATACATTGAGGGTGAACTATGCTGGCATATTGTTGATTGATATGTTTTTGTATTCTTTTTTTATAATACTTGTTCTCATGTTTTAATCACATCCTATCCCTTGTTAACAATATTTGTTCTTTAAATAATAAAAACAGTTATGACAATGTTATCTGTTACGTTGTTTTTGGTGTAAAGGTTTTGGTACTACTAATGATGCCCGGTGCCCTTAGGTGCAGGATGTGGTAAAGATTGCGTCCCTTAGTTGTACCATGATCCGCTCACAGTGGAATTAAACTGATTATGTCGGTGCATGGTTAAAGCGTCGCTCGTCAGCGGTTAACTACCCCAATGACTTCGAGATTTCTTCCCACATTACACCCACATAAAATACAACTTCATTTCTGGTTAAACCAATGGGCATGGGCGGATCCAGGAATTTTTATTTTATTTAATTTTTTTTTTTTTTGGTGTGTGTGTGTGTGTTTCCGGGGTTTCGAACCCCCTATTGGCTCCGCCAACGCAAAACACAATCTTCAATGTGGTCTTAAGTCATTTGGTGTGTGTGTGTGTTGTCGAACCCCCTGGAAACACACACAAACACACACACACCTGGATCCGCCAATGAATGGATCCTCTCTTTTATTAGTGCGGTGGGCTAGTCTAGTGGTTAAAGTGGTCGCTCGTCACACCGAAGACCCGGGTTCGATTCCCCACATGGGTATAATGTGTAAAGCCCATCTGTGGTGGTCTCCGCCGTGCTATTGCTGAAAGCGACGTTTGACCTTACTAACTCATTCATTCTTTTCACCCGTGGAGGTTAGTACAAACCTTCAGTAACCCATGCTTGTCGTAAGAGGCGACTAACGGGATCGGGTGGTCAGGCTCGCTGGCTTGGTTGACACATGTCATCGGTTCCCATTTGCGCAGGTCGATGCTCATGTTGTTGATCACTGGATTGTCTGGTCCAGACTCGATTATTTACAGACCGCCGCCATATAGCTGGAATATTGCTGAGTGCGGCGTAAAACTAAACTCACTCACTCATTCATTCTTTTCAAATTGGCCCCAGTGTCGCTAACAGTATGTCTTTCCTTTCGCAAAGTCACAATCTGTATCCTGACTAGTTAAAATAGTTATGTACCACTCTTCGTAAATTCATTTGGCAAAAGAAATCAAACATGCATGTGATCCAGAAATCCAACACAAAATACACATTAAAAGGTGAACACTGCTGTACCTTCTTTAATGCTGAGTACAATGTAATCATACAAATTGTATTACACACCAGGAAACATGAAAATACATATATACTAGTATACTGAATACGGGTCATAATGAGAAAGTTGAAAATGTGAAACCAGTCATTTGATAAACCTTCAGGACAAAAGTAGGTGTGCGCACTCCTGCAACCCGCCTCTGGATCCGCCTATGCCGGTAGGTACACCTTGTGTGGGTGACCCATGCTTGTCGTAAGCGGCGACTAACGGATCGGATGGTCAGACTCTCTGACTTAGATGACACATGTCATCGTATCCCAGTTAGGTAAATCGATGCTCATGATGATGATTGTCTGGTTAAACAAGAAACAAACAAACAAAACTGATTTTCAGTGATTCACTCATATACTTTGAACAGCCATTGTCCCTCCGGGGGACGGACAAAATCCCATACCGGACAAAATTTCTACGGACAAAATCCCGCACCAAAATTATCAACATAGGACAAAATCCCATATTTATTAGGAAAAATAACAATATCTATTTAAAATAAATTGTAAACAATTTTCCCACTGTTGGGATTTTGTCCGCGTGGGAGTGTGTCGGTGGGATTTTGTCTGGGTGGGATTTTGTCCGGGTGGGATTTTGTCTGGGTGGGATTTTGTCCGGGTGGGATTTTGTCCTACCCTCGTCCCTTCACACCAAGACGGAGGATAGGCAAGACTGGGTATTCTTTTGCACTGGCGGTCTATACTTATCATATGCTTATAGGAGTCGTAGTGCTACAATCACTTTGTGGCCCAGGTGTCATTCACGTGTCTCCTTGTCATATTGTGAGTAGTTCGTATAGAACTCAACCCCCAAAAGCACTAGAAACTGTACTACACGAAGAAAGTATAATCCTAAATATACCATACGTAACATTTAACCACTTTCTAAAAGGGGCGGTGGGGTAGCCGAGTGGTTAAAGCGTTCGCTGGTCACGCCGAAGACCCGGATTCGATTCCCCACATGGGCACAATGTGTGAAGCACATTTCTGGTGTCCCCGCCGTGATATTGCTGGAATATTGCTAAAAGCGGCGTAAAACCACGCTCACTCACTTTCTAAAAAGGCTTTGTTTATTCCACATTAACTGGAAAAAAAAGAAAACAAGAATTAACTGAATGTTTGCTGGAGCGCAAACTGGAATAAAACCTACTTATTATCTGGACTAAAAGTGTGATGTTCTGTACTGCAAGCACACCATGAATGAATGATGTTTAACGCCGCAGTCCACAACATTCCAGCTAACATAAACTGACGTACAACAGAAAATACACATTTAGTGTTTTGTAAACATGTGCACAGCGTCTGTGCCCTGTGAGTCCCACTCAAAACGCTTTTCAAAATATTTACGTAATCTTTTGGAACATTTTCCCAAAACATCAGGTGCGAACTCGCTTTAGTACATCAGTTTATGTAATCACTACAAGCGTGATATCTGTATGTAAAAATCCCCCAGTGTCAGAGACCTGTTCAGTTACATAACGCTATCCACCAAACTAAAACACAGGGATCTTTTAAAACTTTAGCTGTGTTATTAGGTCCCTGTCCACATGTCTGTTTATGAAATTATCAAACTTTGCTGTTTCTAAAATAGAACTCTTCGCAAAGAAAAAAATGCTGACATAGGATTCTTGCATTGAAGTTTATTTCTGCCGTCCCTTAAGACGGCAGTTGCCAGAGCGGGCAGTGTCAGACAGCGGAAGCTAAGCCTTAGCAGACAGTGTCGGACCTCTGAAGTTGAGCCTTAGCGGACAGTGTCGGACAGCGGAAGTTGAGCCTTAGCGGGCAGTGCCAGGCAGCGGAAGTTGAGCCTTAGCAGGCAGTGTCAGACAGCGGAAGTTGAGCCTTAGCGGGCAGTGTCAGACAGCGGAAGTTTGGCCTTAGCGGGTAGTGTCAGACAGCGGAAGTTGGGCCTTAGCGGGCAGTGTCAGACAGCGGAAGTTGAGCCTTAATGGGCAGTGTCAGACAGCGGAACTTCTAGTGCAGCGGAAGTTGAGCCTTAGAAGGCAGTGGACGAACCCAGAGAGGAGCGCTACGCTGCACCATCTCATCGACAACTCATTACAATATCCCAGCTCTCTCACAAAAATATCTAGAATAAATGCCTAATATATTTCATTCAATCAGCTTATTCAACAAGGGGAATATCGATACACTAAGCCAGATTTTCCACAGTAGTAATTCGGTCTAATTTCACGTGACACCAGTTTCCATTCTCCGTCCTCTTCCATCTTCTTCATCAAAGGCTCGAGACGCCCCCTATAGTCGGTGCAGGAGTCCAGGAACTCTTCTCTCATGGATATGGAAATGATCCCGCCTGAAAAACATGGTTAATATAGTTCCATTCTTTAAAAGCGCAGATGGATATGTGCAGCTGCGAAGACATAAGTCGGTCAAAATAGTTGTTCTGAAGGGGTAAAGGTTAGAATTGGTGCGAGAATTGTCGTGTGAGGTGGGTAAACTGATCGGGAGACAAAGCTACAGATACAGCTACAGATAAAGTGCACGGATAGACTAATGTTAATCACCGTCTTTTCTGGACCAGATTCTCTTATCTATAGTCTGACGTCGTCTAAATTTACTATGGTTCCAACGGTGTAAGACACTTTGAGAATGGGGTACAAGATTCACGTCCGGATGGAATGGTTGCTTGGGGGACAGTCGAGACGGGAGTCCCAAGAACGACATATTTTGATAAAACCTGAAGACATGTTGGTTTCGAACATTTTTTTTAAACGAAAGACACTCAGGTATTAAACAAACCAATCGAAAAACATCGTGCAGATTTCGAGGATCACGAAGAGCGGATTTCACCTTCTTCTGACACAAAATGCCCGATATTCAAAGGGATAATAGTTTGTATTGAAGTCGGCACACCCAAGCTAACACACAGCGTTTTGCAACCTTGCGGGAAGGTTGTAGATTGGTAACGTCATATCATGACACAACGTGAGTATTACGTCATTTTATAACGTCATGTCACAACGTCATAACAACGTTGCAAATTTACGTTAGGGAAACGTTATGGTTTGAGCTCCTCAACAACATTATAACAACGTTTCTTATAACTTGCAATTGGTGTCACGACAGTTTTCTGTGAAACCTCTCACTTTGAGATTCTTTCTTCACTATTCAGATACACCTTCAGAAAACACACGACCAAAACAACATGTAAATTGACGAATAAACATTGAAGTGAATATCTGCTTTGTTTCTTATGTACTGTTCACTACTGGGAAAACCGCTCAACTATCAAGGTTAAATAGAACGTTAACACAACGTAAAATACGTTAGCATCAAATAAGTTAACATTGTGGCGACGTAAAAATGACGTATCACAGGGTTGGGCAACGTAAATGGGAGTCCACAGAATAACGTTGTAACAACGAAAGCATAACGTTGTGACAACGATGGGATGGCGATCTGGTTCTGACATGCACTCACCTGGCCGGACGATTCTAGCCATTTCGTGAAGCGCTTCACAAGGGATGTGGCCTTCACCCATAGCACCGGAAACGATTGCAAGGTCATAGGTATCTGGAACATCGAGACAACGTATGTAGACAACCACAAAGGCAATAAACATTATTCTATATCTTCGGTTAACTATAGATATATATTATCTTGTCCCATTTTCAGAGCTTTGTCCCACACCCGTGGCGTAGTCCCATTAGCAGAAACATCTCTCGCGGAATAAGGTACAGGGTCCGTAAGTAGGTCACGGCACTTCGCGAGACCTTTGTACTTCCGGTGACAAACAACGTTTCATGCCTTTCCGAGTGATCTCATGGTTGTCAGTTGATAGCAGGAATAATAAATGTCCGATCTAACCAGCCCAAAATTAGCCAACTATTACGACTGTCAACAGCTGTGACAGCCAAGCATGGTTGTACACTTCGTCGATCTAGTAAAGTCATATTTGGCGGTCGCGCAATTTGGAACCAGTGCTGAAGCTTGAATATACCCTTGTCACCGGAAATCTGGTACCGGTAGTAAGCTGGGCCCCGTCTCGCATATCGCAAGTTGGCGATGGGAGCCTGGAACCAGCTTAGTACCGAAAGTAGCGCCTAGAGAGACCTACAGGCCCTAATGTCAAGAAACAATGCTTCTAAAAGTTTACAAGTTAGTAACGCTGGGTATCTGGGCGCCTTACTGTTGATAACCTCGGCGCCAACCAAACTCACCTCCTTGACCGGTGGCAAGGAACAAATCTTCGGTAAGCTGTAAAGAATTATACTCAAAATAGGTCAAAATGGCGACCCTTATTTCAGCTCCACCTACTGTCGTCTATAGGGAGTCTGTCAGCGCCGATACCAAGCTGCATATAGTTCTTATACAGGTTCTGTTCCTTTGCCTCGTCTAACATCTCAGCCGTGGGTTCTAAGGCGTCCATGACCTTAAAACCTTTCTTCAAAAGCTGCAATGAAATGTTGATTTTAAGCGGATTTTTGGAAGATTTCAGTTAGATTCCTGGGCCTAGATGTTCGAAGCTCTCTTAGCGCTAAGATAGTCGTAAGTGCCATACATTAACATTAACTTACGACTATCTTGGCGCTAAGAGAGCTTCGAAAATCTAGGCCCATCGGGCCCATTTCACAAAGCTATCGTAGCGCTAAGACTGTCGTAGATTTTCGAAGCTCTCTTAGCGCTAAGATAGTCGTAAATGCCATACATTAACATTAACTTACGACTATCTTAGCGCTAAAAGAGCTTCGAAAATCTAGGCCCTGTACAGGAGGTACGACAGTCGTAGCGCTACGATAGCTTTGTGCAACGGGGCCTTGTGTGACATCTTAGTGACATAATATTTGTTTCTTGTTTAACTATATGACAGCGGTCTGGTAATAACCGAGTTCAGTGACTGACATCATGAGCATAGATCTTCGCAAATGTCAGCGAGCCTGAAAACATGAAGATCCGGGTTATAATTGGTCTTCAGCAATCTATGCTTGTCGTACGATGTGACTAACGGGATCAGGTGGTCAGGCTCGCTGATGGTTGACACAAATCGTTGTATCCCAGATGCGTGGATCGCTGCTTATGATGTCATTCGCTGAGAATGTCTGGTCCAGACGCGATTAGATAGCTGAAATGTGTTTGAGTACAGATATAACATACAAACAAAGTATTTGTGAAATGGGACCTCCCTTTTCATTCTCGACATGCTCGACATGTGCATGTACCCACTGAGTGAGTGAGTTTAGTTTTACGCCGCTTTTAGCAATATTCCAGCAATATCACGGCAGGGGACACCAGTAATGGGCTTCACACAGGTACCCATGTGGGGAATCGAACCCGGGTCTTCGGCGAGACGAGCCAACGCTTTAACCACTAGGCTACACGGTATGGCCACTAAGCGTAATCAAGGTACGCATCACTAGCTGGTTTACAATGGTGTTACATATCCAGGCATTAACCGTTGGGTGACTATCTGTCAATATTAAACACGTGATGACAAATGACACGGAAGCACATCTGACCTCCACCGCCACGCGGCCGGTCCCAGCGCCAATATCGATGACCTTGACCTCATCCTTACTTCCGGGGTAGTAGTTCTCGATATTTTCACAGGCCAGGATGTGGGCCCGGTACCGCTCAGGCTCCGTGTCCTGCAACCACATACTGAGTAAATGATGTGTAACGCCACATTCCGCAACATTCAAGCTATAGTCCGTTTGATTTCATTTTAGACCGATGAATTGCTCACTAACACAAAATCTAATAATGAAACCAAATTTCAAACAGTCCCATGAAATCGACAGACCAACCCTGATGATCTGTATCATAATTTTGGACACCCGATTAAAAAAAGTTGTTTAACAAAAACGATCATAATTTTGTTGTCACTGTACGCTATTTCTTACGACGGGGGACCACTTACTAGTAGGACAGCCAGGTAATCAACAAGCGTGTGCAGTGAAATTTCAATTTCACACGTGCAACTCGCACACCTGGCGGTTCTAACCTCTAACCTAACATGAATACCCCACTCAGACACATGTGTATTATAACTTAACAAGTCGGAGAGAGTGATATATTTACAAAATGACCCCTTGGAAATTCACCAGCCAGTCGGGCCAGTGACTGTGGAGATTTACTGGCACGACTGGATTTGTACTAGCCACGGGCTAGCGGGCCAGTGGCTATTTCGCACACTGGCGCTAACACAACCGTTACTCCCATGCTTTAATACGTAGACTTGAGACAGTACTAAGATCACTTTGTTCAACAGGGCCCTTACGCGCATGTCGTTTGACCTTTGACCCACCTTCTGATACTTTCCCTCTTTGACCCACTCTGAGTAAAACTTGATGACGTCATCATTCGTGTTGCCCTGCTTGAAGGCTGTTTTGGCCGCTGCGATGGACTCCAGGTCATCAGCCGTTGGCTGCCAGTTAGTTGTCATGGTGATCTGCCAAACATAAACATTACAGATTAGAAGTTTGACGTTCCAATTTGACGTCATCGTCAAGGGCGGCACCCAGCAATATTCCACCTATATGGCGGCGGTCTGCAAATCATCGAGCCTGGACTAGATAATCCCGTGATCAACATCATGAGCATCGACCTACGCAATTGGGATACGATGACATGTGTCAACCAAGTCAGCGAGCATGACCAGCCGATCCCGTTAGTCGCCTCTTACGACATGCACGGGTTACTGAAGACCAATTCAAACCTGGATCTTCTTTATCTCAGTTGAGAAAAAGGTGTTTTGGGTTGTTGTTTATAATTTACACAGACTTAGTGTCACGGGTACTGTGAATGTATACAACCTCACGCAGGGCACGGTGTGCTGCAGCGCTATTCACAGGAGTAGATCGACCGATGTAGATTGCACGTCCTTCACGAAATTCTTGTTTGGCAATTGCAAAAGTTTAAACCAAGGTCGGTGGCTTGTGAAAATGGTTGTCAGTCGTGAACATTTGCATTTCATTATATTTATCATATTCTCAAAAACATCAGAATATAATGAGATCGCTTTCATCAAATCTCGGTTCAAATCTCTGACTCTGAGTCATGATTTTGAGTCATCACCAAACGTTTTATTCGTCTAAAATATTCAGCAATGACATTTCCGACACAGGAAATTCCTTCTACTCCTTGCATTAAATGTAACCCAGCTGCAGCTGGTTTTGACGGTTTTCTACTGAAACGTTTGGTTTGAAATGAATTTGAAAGTAAATATAGTAAGATTTTTTAGTAACACACTACTGTTATGCAAAGTGCGCGCAGTGAGTCCCAAAACAAGTTTTTACACTGGAATGAACGTATTTGTTGCTGGTATACCTTCATTGTTGCTGGTATACCTTCATTGTTGCTGGTATACCTTCATTGTTGCTGGTATACCTTCATTGTTGCTGGTATACCTTCATTGTTGCTGGTATACCTTCATTGTAGCTGGTATACCTTCATTGTTGCTGGTATACCTTCATTGTTGGTATACCTTCATGGTATACTGGTATACCTGGTATACCTTCATTGTTGCTGGTATTTCATTGTTGCTGGTATACCTTCATTGTTGCTGGTATACCTTCATTGTTGCTGGTATACCTTCATTGTTGCTGGTATACCTTCATTGTTGCTGGTATACCTTCATTGTTGCTGGTATACCTTCATTGTTGCTGGTATACCTTCATTGTTGCTGGTATACCTTCATTGTTTCACTGGTATACCTTCATTGTTGGTATACCTTCTTGGTATACCTGGTATACCTTCATTGTTACCTTCATTGCTGGTATACCTTCATTGTTGTTGCTGGTATACCTTCATTGTTGCTGGTATACCTTCATTGTTGCTGGTATACCTTCATTGTAGCTGGTATACCTTCATTGTTGCTGGTATACCTTCATTGTTGCTGGTATACCTTCATTGTTGCTGGTATACCTCCATTGTTGCTGGTATACCTTCATTGTTGACAGGACAACAGGGACATGCAATTTCACGACGGCCAGCGCTGGTATACTGATTGCAAAACAAGGGGGTGGAGGTGTGTGTGAAGGGATGGCAGGGGTGCGCACCCCCTTTTTGTCCCCCCATGCGGTCTGTATATATTCAAGTCTGGACCAGACAATCCAGTTATCAACAGCATGTGCATCGATCTACACAACTGGGATACGATGACATGTGTCAACCAAGTCAGCGCGCCTGACCACCCGATCCCGTTAGTCGCCTCGAACGACAAGCGTAGGTTACTGAAGATCAATTCTAACCCGGATCTTCACGGGTCTTTACTATTGGGAAGGTGTGTAAATGTTGTGAATTTTTTTTGCACTATACAAATTGTGGCCAAGGCTTTGAGGTATGCACGATTCACGAAAGAAGTAGATTAACTGTAGCAAAACAGCTATCCGATGGATCCTACCTACCTTCATTCATGACGTCAGAACGTGATGTAGGACTACTTTCAATTGTGAGTAGACGTGGTATCATTGTAACCATAGACTTCTTTATGTGGGGGACGGTGGGGTAGCCTAGTGGTTAAATCGTACGCTCGTCACGCCGAAGACCCGGGTTCGATTCCCCACATGGGTACAATGTATGAAGCCCATTTCTGGTGTCCCAAGCCGTGATATTGCTGGAATATTGCTAGAAGCGGCGTAAAACTACACTCACTCACTCACTCACTCTTTATGTGGTCATTAGTACTATGCTTTGATTCGACTTAACTGATAATCGTTTAATGAATTACACCACTGCCTTTAATATGCTACCATTCGTTCAAACATTTACTAAGTAGAGAAAACATTTTTTCTGTGAAATTATTACGCGGTGTGTGTGTGTGTGTGTGTGTGTGTGTGTGTGTGTGTGTGTGTGTGTGTGTGTGTGTGTGTGTGTGTGTGTGTGTGTGTGTGTGTGTGTGTGTGTGTGTGTGTGTGCAGGGGTGTAGACTAACATTTAGTCCCTGAAATGAACATATTTTTACAGAAAAAAACTTCATACTAAAATATCATAAGATATAATGTGGTGCGACATAATATTATTCTGGACTTGCATGGACTTTTGGGATATAAATTTATTTGTTTTAGGGTCTGTATGGCAGACTAGGAGAGAGACTAGGAGAGATTGACCCGCCATCCTGCACCATGGCCACATAACGAATGCCACATCTAATATTATACTAATTTACACACCAGTCTACCCATAGAGAGTGAATGAGTTTAGTTTTACGCCGCTTTTAGCAATATTCAACTAATATCACCAGAAATGGGCCTCACACATTGTGCCCATGTACAGAATCTCTTAATTTGAAATCAAGTAGAATTAGTCAATCGAATTGAGAATTTCTTGTTCAAGGAACAACTACTTCGGGGTACAGTACATCAAGTATCCACACTACTCTCTGTCTCTAGATAACTCTTATGTGTATGGGACTGGCTCTCTCTCTCTCTCTCTCTCTCTCTCTCTCTCTCTCTCTCTCTCTCTCTCTCTCTCTCTCTCTCTCTCTCTCTCTCTCTCTCTCTCTCTCTCTCACGGAGTTGGCGTGGATGCGTGACCGAGTTCGTGATTACGAATATCCCCGTGCCGAACTTTAACCTCAACCTAAATGTTTGGGTAATCGCCGTGATAAACTTCTGTAGTATAAAATATAATGCCTTCTTTCTTAATTTAAACTTGCATTGGGGCAACATTTTCTAATGTGTTCCACGCAGCGACCAAAATTCTGCTTAATGAAGACAAAATTATCTGAAAAATGTTCTTGGTTCTTATTTATTGTAATTTTTACTACAATTTCTCGCGTTCTTTGGACTTGTGGCAGCGACTGATTATAAGAAAAACATTTTATATGACGATGCGGTACGGTTTTTGTTCTTTGTTTTATTTTTTGTTGTTGTTTTCTGTTGTTGTTGTTTTTGTTTAGAAAATAAAGATACTGCCCGTACTACAGATAGTTGTCGCACACGTACGAACGATTCCGTGACTTTTTCTTGTGCAGCGTTCAATGAGTAGACTATTTTGAATTAGGTTCATTACAGGGGATCCATCTTAAATATGTGAAGTAGTTTGCTGGCAATACTGGGTGCTGACTGCAATATGATGGCTCAATTCATGACTGACTTACTCGAATTCATGAGACAAATATAAACCAATCCTCTACCAATCAAAACAACATCCACAAGCACATCAACTTGTTAGAAGCATGCAAGCGGGTACAATACATGGTGCGTTTCCTATCTTGTCTTGTCATTAATTCAACACTTGAAATATGTGGAGTCCATCTATTATCAGCCGGCTTATCTAACAGTTTTAGGTAAACGTGTTGACAAAAACTAAAGCAGTTTAGGTATCATTTGACCTCATTTTGTTCGACATACACTGTGAATGTCATCAGAATGTCACTGGTGGGATCATCAAAAAGGCACTTACCGTAATTGTTCTGCTTTTTGAAAAATACTCTTGCAAACTGGCTAATTTGCACAGGCAGACGTTTTTCATTTCAATCTTGACCCCCAAATCAAGTAACGACACTGACGCGGAATCCCGACTCATCACGTGATCAGTATTGACCTATTACGTGATGAATAATAAGTCGTCTGCTTCAGAACAACATGGCGTCTGGGCCTTACATTACACGGTTCGCAGCTAGGTACACTAACGCTTAGTCTCCGTAAACATAAACTTCTGGTAGAAACAAATAATCCCATTTACATTGAAAAGGAACCCCAGTGACTTAAGAGATTCCAGAACCTAAAGAAATCTAGACTCATTTAGAGATTTATCATTGAAGATAAGGTTGGGCGGAAGGGGAAAATAATGCGATTCAGCGACTGTGAGACAGTCTAGTAAACAGAAGACGGTTTAAAGACTTCATAAACCTTGAGGTGAGTTTTTAAAAACATGCAATGAATGATTACTCTTAACAATTGAAAAAAGGGAAAACAAGGACGTGATGACGTCAAGAATTACATACTGCCATTTCTCGTTCGTTTTGTCTATAGCAGGTTACTAGCATGACAAATTTGTGCAAAAGAAAATAGGAGCGTCACACTGATTCCAAATGACACAATTCTCTTTAAAATCATATATTACTTCTGCCAAGATCTGAAGATATCCATTTACTCTACAGATATGTTACGCCCTATAATACCTTTAGTCCGAACAATCACAGCGTTCCTTACCGGCTGAGGAATGTAACGATCGGAACATCTTTCTGATCATGTAGCAACGAAAAGGGTGATTCAGAATCGGCCAATAGAATCCTACCAAAATAATTGGGAAATCTTCATGGAGGTTACGGAATAGGGCGAGTGGAGACGAATGGTCATAGAAAAGAGCGAGTCTGGTAGGCGACGTTATGATCCTATAAAACCCGCGAACATCCAACATATTGCTGAAAAGCATGTGCAAATATTGTGCATGTGAACAGCTGCGTTTTGGTGTAAAGTTTTGTTAAGAATTCGCCAATTTTGC